GGCAGACTGACTGAAACACACTGCTGAGGGGAGAGGTCTGCGGCACCATGTGGGTAGCTCCCTGACCTGAATCAATCTCAGTTCATGGAGGTGAGAACACCGAGACTAACCCCTAGGCCACCAGGGTGGCCCTATTTTAAAATATTTACTCCAGCCCATTGTGATCTAACCAGATAAACGGGAAGGAATGAAGACAGTAATATGGTAATAATATACTTGACTGCCCCCTTGCAGTCCGGTGGAGCCCACCGACCACTGTTCTTCCTGTGGGTCTGGCTTTTGGGGACTCCTGGCTTGGCTCAGTCTCCTGGATCCAGACCCCTTCAGGATAAGGGAGGGAGGGGAGGGGAGCTCAGTGGCCTCAGACAAGCCAAGGCCATGATAAACTGGGAAACTTATCCCAACTGAGGCTGAGTGTCAGTCTCCAGAGCAGAACTGATGAGGCAAGGGGAGATGAGGGGCCTCCAAGTTTCCCCTAGGTGGGACAGAATTCATGCAGAGTCAGTATAGGGGAGTTAGAACTGAAGCTTTCTCGTAGGTGGTGGGACACACTCAAGAGTGAGTGTGGGCACATTCAGAGGCAGGCACCTGAGGGCTTAAGGCTGCTGATAGAAGAAATAGTCGTTTAGCTTTGGGGGCAGGGGCTCCTGATAGGATCCTGACTGGGTCTTGACCACTTTAAAAAAAAAAAAATAGATTTCTTTATTTAGAACTGGGGTGGAATCCAGAGGTGCAGGGGGTGAGAGGATTCACCAAAGACAGTGGGGAGCAGAACAGGCTGATCTACTGAAACACAGTGCTGAGAGGAGTGGCAGTGGAGACAGGGGAGGTCTGCTGCACCAGGTAAGTGGATCCCTCGCCAGCCTGGGATCCAACTTGTGCTGTCCTGGCCAGAGATAGCCTGATAGTTCTGTGTTTAACCCCTGCACCACCAGGGAGGCCGCTTTTGTTAAGCAAAAGGCTAGGAATTTACAGATGAGAGAATGGGATTTGGCCATTTTCTTTTTGAAAGAAGGTAGAAGTCTGCTGGCACCTGGTGGGGAGAAACTAAGGGGCTGTGACAGGGTCTAATAGGCTCCACAACTGTTTTCCAGAAATGCTGCATCAGGGAGGAGGGGCTGCAGCCTTGGTGCAAAATTCTTGTTCCACCTCAGACCTGGCAGGGGCTGGCTCCCCAGACACAAACAGCTAAGCCCCTCACCCCATATCCCAACCCCCAGCCCCAGGGAGCAGGTAGGCCAAAGAGGCAGAGAAGAGGGCTGAAGAGAAGAGGGGAGCAGAACAGGTGGATCTACTGAAATACACTGCTGAGGGGAGCAGCTGGCGAGTCAGACGAGGTCTGCTGCACCATGTGGGTAGCTCCCTGGCCAGGGATTGAACTCTTGCTGCAATGGCTGGGGACAGCTCCACAGTGCTCAACCTAACCCCTTGCAGTACCAGGGAGTCCTCTTATTTGGTTTTTTTTTGAACATTCAGGTTGTTCTTGTTTGGGGCCCCCTGACTTTAACCAACTTTTCCTCATTCAGTTTGATAAATGGGCTTTGGGGGCCCCTGGTGCTAACTGCCTGCCTGTATGTAGCGGCAGGAGGGCACAGAGCAGGATCTCTATGATCCAAGCAGACGGGATAAGGAGAAGTCCTTGCGCCCTCGGTGCCTTTTGCAGGCTTTTATTGGGATTTGCCAGGTACACAGCAGGCTGGGGTGCTGGGGGGCCGGGAGGCTGGCAGGCCTCCAGCAAGTCTTCACTATCTGGACTCTCCGGCCTTCTCTCGTGGCCATTTCTTTTCTTCTGCTCCTTTCACTCTTTCGTTCTCTTCTGCTCTCTGCTCTGCTGGCGTCCCCGTGACGCCGCCCTTAAAAGCCCAGTCTTAGCCCAGGTGAATCCCATCTACATGTGCCCACACCCTACTCCAGGTGCCCGCCCTCAGGCGTGCATTCAAGACCGCAAGGATCCACCATCAATCCTAATGGTGGGAAGGCAGAAAAGCCTGATACTTTTTCACTTACCCTGCACTGTACCCACCTGCCAGCTGCCTCACTCGTGTGCACATTGAAGACTTGTAAGATTGAATTAAAAGTGGGGGGATCCTAATGAGAAATTGCTTGGAATAAGATCAAGTCGACTGTAAACTCATAGAACTGTTTGGAGTCTGCGGGGACTGTAGTTTGGGCCATCTGGGGTCAGTGCGGGCTCTCCCTGGACTTTCCCCTGGCGAGTCTGGGTCCGAAGAGCTCACTGTAAAGTTTAGGTGTGCCTCTCTTGCGCTGGGGTGCAGAGAAGTGGCCCAAGCTAGCAGCTCTTGTCCAAAGCTCTCAATTCCACTTCTCTGGGAGAGGTCCAAAGGTCTGGGGAATTTCCTTTTCAAATGTACAGAGGGGGAGAGATGATTCCCTCATCCTGATCCTGGCCAGCCAGAGCTGATAAGGGACAGAGACCCTGAGCGACCGCGGGACACCAGGCCCCACAGGATCTGATTAAGACCCTGCAGACCAGTGACCTCATCCTGTCCTGCCCAGAGGTCAGGGTTTTAAGAGCCCCCCTTCCAGCCTTTGGAGTCCCCCTGATTCTCCCTCACTCACTTCCTGGTGAACTCTTGATTCTCGCCCTGGGTGGCTAGTTAATGGCCTCAACGTTGCCTTTTCTTTTTAGCTGTTGGTCTTATTTTTAACTGCATGTTTGTGTTTCAAGTGAAACCGAAAGTGAATTGTTCCCACTCATCCCTCCTGCTGACATCCTGCAGGAGAGGAAAAGAGGCCTTTTCTTTGCCTTTTTTGGTCAGTGTAGGGTAAAGAAAATGTCAAGCTTTTCTGCCCTTCCGCCATCAGGATAGATGATGGATCCTTGTCCTGAATGCATGCCTGATGGCGGGCACCTGGAATAGGGTGTGGGCATAGGTAGATGGGATTCAGCTGAGCTAAGACTGTGCTTTTAAGGGTGGCGTCACGGGGATGCCAGCAGAAGCTGAGAAAGAAGCCGATGAGAGAAGCAAAGAAGCAGAAGCAGAGAACGCCAGAGAGAGTGTAGATTTGCTGGGGGCTGGGAGGGCTGCCAGCCTTTCGGCCCCCCAGCACCCTTGCCTGCCATATGCCTGGTGAACCCCAATAAAAGACCCGCAAAAAACCACTGAGGACTCTGACTCCTCCTTTTCCCGGTCTGCATGGGATCAGAAAACCTGCACTGTGGCCTGTCCTGCCTTTATAGTCAGGGATTAGAAAGTTGGAATGCTGCCTCTAATCTTATGTATCCCAGTGTATTTGGCTGGTCTCTGTTGGGCTGGCTTCACCAGCCTGAGACCCCACAGCCAGAGGATCCCATGCAAATACCAGCAGGGACCCCACTTGTGTTTTGCACCCGGCTCCATAAAGAATGGCCCTGGCCCAGGTGTCAGGTGCTGGGGCCCATGTGCTTGTAAGGCTGCTGCCTTCAAGGAGTTTCAAGTGTTATGCAGAACAGAGGTGTGAATGGCTCGTTTTATTTTATCATAAATATTTATGCATACAAGAACTGGGGGTACAGGCCAGAGGTGTGGGGGTATGTGTGAGAGGATTCACCAGAGACAGAGTGGGGACAGAACAGGCAGATTTGCTGAAATACCCTGTTGAGAGTAACAGTGGGTGAGTCAGGAGAGGTCTGCAGTGCCATGTGGGTAGCTCCCTCGCCAGGCATCCCACTGGTGCTGCAGTGGCTGCAGATAGCATCACAGATTGTATCTTAACACCTTGCACCACCAGGGAGGCCCTCATTTTTTTTAAAGATTTATTTATTTATACATACAGGAAATGGGACATGGGTCAGAGGTGCTGGGTGAGAGGATTCACCAGAGACAGAGTAGGGAGCAGAACAGATGGATCTACTGAAATACATTGCTGAGGGGAGCAGCAGATGAGATAGGAGAGGTCTTCTGTGCCAGGTGGGTAGCTCCCTGGCTGGCCGGGGATCAAACTCGTGCTGCAGAAGCTGTGGATATCTTCACAGTGCTGTGCTTAACCCCTTGCGCCACCACAAGACCCCCTGAATGGCTCATTTTAATTCCTACATAAAATGCTCTGCTTTGTAAAAGTAAGCACATGGGTTGTATTTAATTTACAAGAATCCATGAAGGCTAGTCACCCAGCAAAGTGGGGTGGGATCCTGGGGAGGAGTGAGAATAAGGGGCGTCTTGGTAGAAAGTGCAAAGAAACAGAGGTAAGACAGAGCTTGCATACTCTGGGAACTCCAAACAGGTCACGTAGGGGTGAAGACTGTTCTGGAAAAATGGCAAAGGATGGACAGGAGGGTGATTTTATGTACAGGCTGTTGCAACAAATAAGTAACCTGGGGCGTGGGGCTTAAACAGAAAAGTGCTGTCAGTCTCGCAGTCCTGGAGTCCGAGTCAAGGTGTTGGCAGGAAGGGTTTCTCCTGATACCTTGTTCCGTGGCGTGCAGGTGGCCACCTTCTTCCTGTGTCCTCAACTGGTTTTCTCTGTGCACATGTCTCTTCTTATAAGGACGCCTTTCCTACCTAGACCATGAAGGTTGTCGTGAAATTACCATAATTCAGGCGTCCGTATTAAAGACCAGGAGACGAAGGATCATGACCCGCTGTGTCCCCAGCGCTTTATGCTGGGTTTGGCATGTATTGGTGATTGGTATCAAAAAAGAGAAAAAAAAAATTACATTAGAAAAAAATTTTCTCTAAAACCTAAGCACTGGGAAAAGTGTAAATAGAAAATAGCAGCATTTACTATTTAGTTTTTTTAAATATATATTCATGCATTCAAGAGCTGGGGTTTAGGCCAGAAGTGTGGGGTGTGGGGGGGGCAGGGGTAAGAGGATTCACCAGAGACAGAGTGGGGAGCAGCAGGCAGATTGAAATACACTGCCCACGCAAGGAGAGGGCCTGTCTCACCTGCTGCTCCCCTCAGCATGTATTTCAGTCAACCACCTGTCCTGTCCCCCGCTCTGTCTCTGGTGGATCCTCTCACCCCACCCCCCACACATCTGGCCTGTACCCCAGCGGGGGGTCACAGAGGTGCAACCCCTATGGAGAGCAAAACCGGCCACAGAAGAGAATGCTGTTGGCTTTGTTGTGCCTGATGAAGAAAAGAAAGGGGTGGTCGGCGCAGAACCGCGGCTCATCCTCCATGCAGCATTCCACCACCACCATGGCTGAGGCAGCTGCGGCCTCCGTGCCTTTCTCGTTCACCTCCACAAAACTCTTGTGCACAAACTTGGACAGACACAGGTCTGTCTCGGTTGATATCGCCGAAAAGTCGGCCTGGCTCTGCTGAAAGGCGTCCACTACTCCCAGATGCTGAAGCACAGATTCCATGTCGTAATCCTCTTCCAGTTTAAATTTTGGAAGGAAAACTTCAATGTCGGTACGCGTCATACGGTGTGGCTTGGTCCAGGTCATGAATTTCTTGAAAGTGAGATTTTTTTCCACCTGAAAGGTCAGAATCAGTGAGGTCACACAGGCATCCCTCCTCCTCTCGTGGGTGGCTGCTGACGGTCACCCAGGACCAGGGGCATCTGACACGCCAGGAATCTCTGAGCTCCCTACTTGTGCCATTACCTACAGGGGCTTTGTGCCCAGCTGGGGCAACCTCCAGCAACCTGACACACAGAGGTGGTCCAGTGTCCTGTCCTCTCCTTACCCAATTGCTTCTACGGCATTTCTCGTTGTAACACTTGCCGACGCCCAGAAGACTGGATTCTTTCTCTTTACTGCGCTGTTTTGAAGACCGGACACTGGCAGCAGGAAGAATGGCTGTAAAAGGGCTCTCAGGATAGCCCAACCCCGAAGGGCTTTCTGCCCAGATGGGCCACTGTGTGCCTTGTGGAGAGCAACCTCAGATACAGCAGAGGTGGGAGCTGTCCCCCAACGTAGAATCTATTCTGCCCTGGGTGACTTCTGGCTCCGCCTTCTAGTGCTGGCTCCTCCCCTTCCCTTTGTTGTGTCAGAGTTTCATTTTCTTGTTCACTGCTTCAGGTTCTAAACTGAAACAATGGTTCTTAGATATTCAATAATATTACATGAATTTATAAGCACTGTATATATTTCTTTAAATATATACATCTTAAAATTTTTTTAAAAAGTTTTATTTATTTTGCATGGAAGAACTGGGTTATAGGCCAGAGGTATAGTGGAGTGAAAGGATTCACCAGAGACAGAGTGGGGAGCAGAAGGGGTGGATCTACTGAAACACACTGCTAAGGCGAGCAGCAGATGAGATAGGAAAGGTCTGCTGAGCCATATATGGGTTAACTCCCAGGCCAGGGATTGAACTCAGGCAGTTGTGGTGATAGCCCTGAGACTTAACCCCCTGGCCACCAAGGAGGCCCTAAATATATACATTTTAAAAAATTATGGAATATACACTCAATGGAATATTATGCAGCTGTGATAAAAGATGAACAAGAGATATTTGGAACAAAATGGCTGAACCTCAAGGTGATTATGTTAAGTGAAATAAGTCAAAAAGTGAAAGACAGATAATTGGTTGGTTTCACTCGTTGGTGGAATATAAATAACCAAAAAAACATACACAGGCAAGGGTCCTCCCTGGTGGTGCAAGGGGTTAAGATGCAACCTAGGAAGCTCTTGGCAGCCACTACAGCACGAGTTCGATCTCAGGCCTGCCAGGGAGCAACCCACATGGCGCAGCAGACCTCTCCTGTCTCCCCGCTGCTCCCCTCAGCAGTGTATTTCAGTCAGTCTGCCCGTTCTGTTCCCCTCTCTGTCTGTAATTAATCCTCTCACCCCCACACCTCTGGCCTACACCCAGTTCTTGCATGCATAAATTTAAAAAAAGCATACTAAAGAGAAAGAATCCAGTCCTCTGGGCATCGACAATTGCTAGGATGAGAAATGCCACAGACTGTTGGATAAGGACAGGAAGGGACACTGGTCACGGGTCACTGTCTCTGCTGCTTGACTGCCCACATCACTCATGGACAGGTACACACAGGTGGAGGGTGTGCTGTGTCCTCCAAGGGAGTACACAGGGGGGCATCTGCGTTCATCTCACCGAGTCCAGGTCCATGACTTACGCTCCCGGTCAGCGTAAGGCAGCTCCAGCACCTGGGCGCGCAACTCCATGACATAGGCAAGGTTAAAGCTGGACTCCTGAAACATCATCTGCACGGGCCTTTGCTCCTTCTGATGGGAAAAACAGATGAGCGTGGAATGCAAGCTAGGCTGCTGAAAGAGGCTCTCATTCCTAAGTGAGCTCCAGTGGGCTCCAGTGAAGAACGTACCAGGCTCTAGCCCACACCTCCCGATTGCCCCCAGCTGCTCCCCAGCATCAGTACCAGGCATCAGCAAATAAATGGCTTTTTCCAGAAGAAAAAGCCAGAGTTTCCTCATTTAAAATGCCCTGGTAAGGGCGGGCCTCCTAGGTGGTGCAAGGGGTTGAGCACAACACTATGAAGCTATCCGCAGCCTGTGCAGACGAGTTCAATCCCAGGTCAGGGAGTTAACCACATGGCGCAGCTGCTTGTCTTGTCCACTGCTCCCCTCAGCAGTGTATTTCAGTCCATCTGCCTGTTCTGTTCCCCGCTTTGTCTCTGGTGAACCTCTCACCCCGCCCCCCACTTCTGGCCTGCAACCCCAGCTCTTATATGCATAAATAAAAAAATCTTAAAAAAATAATAAAATAAAACACCCTGGTTGCAAGTATAAAAGAACCACACATATCTTCATGCATTTGAACACAATCGTTCCAATTCTTACACTCTCATCCAAGGAAACTTTTTAAAAAAATACAGAAGAGGTTTAGCTCAGCAGAAATTAATTGAAGCATTAAATATTACATTTGCTTTTTAAAAGTTGATACAGCCCCTGTATTATTAAAACTTGAAATAGTTTCTGGGCCTCCCCGGTGGCACAGCGGTTGAGCGCTGGGTTGCAAAGCGGCCCGCAGCCTCTGCAGCACCAGTTCGATCCCCGGCCACCAGCGAGAGTCCCACATGTCGAGCAGACCTCTTCTGCCACGCCCGCTGCTCCCCTCAGCAGTGTTTTTCATCAGTCTGCCTGCTCTGCTCCCCGCTCTGGCTCTGGTGAATTCACTCACCCTCCCGCGCTTCTGACTGTACCCAGTGCTTGTATAAATAAATAAATAAATCTTTAAAAAAAAACAACAGAACTTTAGTTTCTAAAATCAGTGATAGAAAAAGTTCTCCCCCACCCTCCTTTGCAACTAGAAGATTAATTTTTTTCAGTTATTTAAAGTATACCTTATCCAAAAAAGGCTGTTTTACCTGTATGTTTCCTAGCTGCATTAAATGGGATTTTTTAGGAGTAGGGAGATCTAGCGGACTATTTAAATGCAAAGTTATACCTCAGCGTTGACACTAAGGAGATTGGCAGTTTTAATACAGAAAAACTATAAATCCTAAATGCACAACAGTGAGTTAATTCACAGCAGTTCAAGTCTATACTTATTTTAATTTTAAAAATACCTGATTAAAGACATACTTTTTTGTATCCTCTCCCGCTACTCCACCCAAAACACACACGTATCTCCTGTACACCTGTGTTTGCTTTCTAGCTAAGCAACATGGGCTTAAAGGAAAATCCTCAGTTTTCAGAACTTGGTAGCTGCCATGAAGGTCTGGAAGATTAACAGAGGTTGTAAGAGCAGTCATAAAATGCAAAATATCCTGGATAGCAAATTTTCATTTTTTTTAAAGATTTATTTATGCATACAAGAGCGGGGTTTTAGGCCGGGGGTGGGGGGGTTGGAGGGTTGGGAGAGAGGGGAAGTGGATTCACCAGAGACAGAGCAGGGAGCAGAATAAGTAGACTAACTGAAATACACTGCTGAGGGGAGCAGCAGGCAAGACATGAGAGGTCTGCTGCGCCATGTGGGTCACCTCCCTGGCTAGGGATCAAACTTGTGCTGCAGTGGCTGCGGACAGCTTCATCATGCTGCATCTTAACCCCTTGTGCCACCAGGGAGGCCCCAAATATTTATTTTTCCATTCAAGTTTCCAATTACTTTTGAATCTATTGTTTATGCTTTTACAAATAAAGATTTCTCCATTTAATTTCTTTTTTTTCATTTAATTAATTAAATTTTCAAGAACTCCCCCTCACCTCATTTATTTTAAAAGGCATTTCCATCGTGTTCTTTTTGTCAAACTCTTGATTCCACCTTCCTTTGAAGTAAACGGCGTTGACAGAACCAGCTTCGTCTGGGCACTGATGGAGTTACTCTGCAACAGGTCTTGAATTTTACCTTCCAAGAAAACCATAGTACATTCCGTTGATTTTTATAAGAGCATGATAAGGCTTATTGGCTGATTCAAGATTATCAGTCAAGAACCAAACACAGTTTTTAAGTTTGCGGTGTTTGGATTGTTAAGTACGGAAATCAGAAACAACATATACAAGTGCTACCCATGATTACCGGTAGCTGGAGACTAACCACAAAGGTGATGTTGGGGAGAGGTTCCTAGTCTACTCAAGGAAAACCATTGCACCGGGTCAGAGAACAAGTCAGGCAGGAAAGAGAGAGACAGAAGAGGCTTGTTATTTCACAGGGTTAAATGGGGCTGTGACCTAATGCTCCAAGGTAACCTCCAGGGCTGATGTTCCACAGTCACATGTGCACACGGAGGAGGCATGTTTCCAAAGGAAAAAAGTTGACCATGGAGAACATGGGGCATTGAGGAACATCTGGAAGTTTCTGGAAGAGATTTTATTTATTTGGTCCTCTAAACAAAACACCAGACGTTCCTGCAGAAGGCTAAAGGGGCAATTGAAAGATATTCCTTTTCTTTGCATGAAAGGTTGCACCTTTTCATCACTGCATCCTGACGGCTAAGTGGTGACCATTCCAAGAAGAAATGGGAAAATAACTACTAAGTCTTTAAGGAAAGGCAATCTCTTTTATTTTTTGTTTGGAAATCTAACATTTATTGTATTTAATGTTGTTTGTCACATATATCCTTGAGGCAACATTGGTTTACAGTTACAGGGCCACACCTCCTGTATGTGATCACACCACCCCCACCACCAAAACACACATAGTTCCCCACCCTAGACCACTGGGCCCCGCCAAGGCTGGGTGTGGAGAGGAGGCCCATCTGGTGAGATCATGAATTCACCCAACGTGGAACTGCTACAGACCCCAGGGAAGCAGAAGTCAGTAAGTCATTAAGCTGGAAAGCTGGCCTAGGCACTTGCTTTGACATCTATAGCCATCATCCGGGTCCTGGAGCGGGGAGGACAAACTTAAGTCTCTGTTGTTGGAAGCCTGAGCATCTGATCAGAATTTCAAGAGTCTGTTAAGGTTCATTTATTTATTTTTAAAGATTTATTTATTTTCCTTAGAAGAACTGGCCAGAGTTGCAGGGTGGAGGAGAGGATTCACCAGAGACAGAGTGGGGAGCTGAACAAACAGATGTACTGAAATACACTGCTGAGGGGAGCAGTAGGCCAGATGGGAGAGGTCTGCTGCACCGTGTGAGAAGCTCCCTGGCTGGGGATCAAACTTAGTCCTAGCATGAAGGCACTAAAGCTTACTCCCTAGGCCACAGAGAGGTGCTCTGATAAGGTTTAAATATGCCTTGAGGTGGGCCTCCCTGGTGGTGCAAGGGGTTAGGACGCAACCTATGAAGTTATCCACAGCCACTGAAGCATGAGTTCAATTCCCGGCCAGGGAGCTACCCACATGGCACAGCAGACCTCTCCTGTCTCGCCGCTGCTCCCCTTGTTGTAGAGCAACCCCGATACAAAACGGGGTGCCTGACTGTGGGTCCTCACCCTCACGCTTAAAAGGACTTATCAATGCTCTACTGCAGGCACACGTGAAATGTTAATAAAAGGTTTATTTACAAGGAAAGGGGAAATGAGGAAATGTACAGCTCTGGGAGAAAAGTGGGAGACAAAGTTTTAAATGAGTCCTACCCAATCCGCCGATCAGGTATCCCAAAATGGCTCTTTGAGAGCTGGCCGCCAGCCAGGAGCGGTGAAGCCAGGAGGCGAGCGTTCGCGAGCCAGAGAGAGCCCAAGGCCCACGTGTTTGGTTTTTTATATCCAACCTGGCTGCCCAACTCCACCCTCAGGTCCCAGCCACCCTCCCTTGATGGTGATGGGATTTGTCTTTCCCAGAGTCTTGATGGCTTTAGTCTGGAGTGGGGGTGGAGTCCACAAAGCCTGTATGGGATTAACTCAGGACATCATTTCCCCCTAACACCCTCAGCAGTGTATTTCAGTCTATCTGCCTGTTCTGCTCCCTGCTCTGTCTCAGGTAAATTCTCTCAACCCCCACCCCTGCACCTCTAGCCTGTACCCCTGTCCTTGTATGCATAAATAATCTCTAAAAATAAATAAATAAATACGCCTTGAGGTCCAGCCTGACTCTCTAGAGCAGCAGGGAACAGGGGAGCGGGACGGGAGGAGGAGGAGCTCAAGGGAGGTGAGAAGGCAGGGGAGGAGAAAGGAGCAGGACAGGAGGGAAGGGAAGGGGAGCAGCAGATGTGAGGACCCGGAGGATGACGGAGGGGGACGTGGCTTTCAGACCTTCAGTCTTTTCTGAGACCCAGTTGTTGATTCTCTCCCGGGACTGCTCGGCAGCTTCGACGAAGGGCAGCTGCTCCAGCTCCGCCAGGTAGAACTGGAGACAGGATTCCCGAAAGGCCTTGGGGCGGGAGGGAGTTCAGTGAGGCTGCATGTCCAGGTAAAATGCCAACAAGGTTCAGAAAATCCTGAATGTCCTGAGTGTACGTCTTATCACACGCTCGCCTCTTAGCCCACGGGCTACTGCCGTGAAGGAGTTTAGAAACAGTAAGTACTTAGCCGGGAATTCCCAGAACTGGAGACAGGAATTTTAGAGTCACATGTTAAATCCTTCAAGGCATAGTTAAGAATTACGATTACAAATACCAGTAACGCTGATTCTAAGTGTCAGTGCCCCAGAGTTTCTCTGGGAATGTATGTTCTGCATGCCTCTTATGATCCCACTGCTGTGACTTACGGAGAGGAATTCACGAGACTTTTCTCCAAAGAGCCGGTTGGCTGTTCTCAGCAAGTACTGGGTGCCGGGTCTGTTCACTTCAGTGAGAAGCGACTGGAAGCCCCGGTGAATGTCTTTCTCTGTGTTGAAACAAAGCGCCTGTTGAGAAAATAATGAAAGTGGGGAATAATGCTCTTCACGGCAGATTTTTACCTCAAATGCTCCACAGCATCTTCTTTTTCTCTTTTTCTTTTTTAAAATTTATTTATTTATGCATACAAGAGCTGGGGTACAGGCCAGAGGTGCAGGGGTGGGGGGAGGATTCACCAGAGACAGACTGGGGTACTGCACAGGCGAACTCTGAAACACACTGCTGAGGGGAGCAGCAGGTGAGACAGGACAGGTCTGCTGCACCAGAGCTCTGTAGCGCCCTGGCCAGGGATCAAACTCGGCCCAAACTCATGCCATAGAGGTGATAGTGCTGAGACTTAACAGGGAGGCCCTGTTCACTGTTCTCACATGTTTACTGGAGGTTTGTTAAACTAAGCTCCCCAGTACCCTTGCAGTCTGTTCAAGTAAATACAAGCTTTTGTGTCCATTTGTGTGTGACTCTGCTTATCCCCTTAATTGAGTGAACAAAATATAAAATTTGATGAGGACCCGCCTCCATCCCCGGTCCTGCAGACAAGAGAGCAAAACCATCTGTGCAGAACTAAGTGAGAACAGGTTCCACCCTGTATTGGTGCCAGGATTCACTGCCTGAAGCTAGAGTCAGTCTTTTCAAGCTCACTGCTCCCCGGGGCTGGAATCCTCACTTTAATTACCTAATAAACTCTGTAACTATCATCGAGATTTTATTTCCAGCTAACAGGAACCAGGAAGACCTGTTGGTTTATCAATAACTTGAAATAGATATGGATAATTATACTCACCAATGAATAATTACACTCACAAAGTCATTTGTTCCCCAACACAAGAGACCCTAGCTGTTTTGATTTTATATAAGTTCTCCAGACCAGAGCCATCAACACACTGGGAACAACAAATCCCATGATCACCAAAGGGAGGGTTGCGAGGACCTGAAGATGGAGTTAAGCAGCCATGTTTCTTGTTTGGGTATATAACCAGCCTTGTGGCCCAGGTCGCCCTTTTGACCCCACGGCACTGGGCTTTTAGCCACCTTTGGCAAGTCATTGGGATTCCAGGTCAGAGGAATGGGTAGGACTCTTTAGGAATTTATCTCCCTCTTTATCTCCCTGAGTTACTCATTTCTTCATTTCCCGTTCTCTTGTAAATAAACCTTTTATTAACCTTTTCTGTGTGCCTGCAGTTTAGGATTAATAAGTCCCTTTTAAGAGCACTGGTGAGGACCCACAGAAATGCAACCGGTTTCATATTGGGGTTGCTCTGTAACACTAGGACCAAATTTTGGTAGTTCTCAGTCAGGTTATACATTGCAGAGACTTCACCAAAAATGCTTCAGGGAAGGAGACTCCCTGTCTTGCACTTTGCATTTTGCTCCCCAGGCAGCTCCACTTCCCTGAATGAGCTACTATGGGTGGCTGCACTCACCAAGTACTCCCCCCTTCATTGACAGCCTTAGATCAGATGGCATAAAACTGAGAGACAGGACTTAGTAGCCAAACAGCCAGTCCCTCCTCTTGAGTGACAGGTGAGCTTACCTGGGCCATCTGGGCTGTAGTTTTTCCCTTTGTCCCAAGGAAGACCATGGCCAGGGCAGAGGAGATGCTCAAAGGAGAAAAAAAACACATTCTGAGAAGGCTGGTCTTGGCACAGTAGCTTTAGAAGGTGGAGGGCAAAGGTGCCATTGGCTTCAGTAAGAGCATCCATGGTGGAGGGTCTGGAACCAACAATAAAGAGAAAGTTCACGTCAATACATCTCCAGAATGTTACTGACCAAGTACATGGCAATTCTGAAATTGTATTTTTTTAATCTTTGTTTTTTAAAAGATTTATTTATGTATGTATATAAGAGTTGAGGTACAGACCAGAGGTGTGGGAGGTGAGACGATTCAGCAGAGACAGAGTCGGAACCAGAACTGGCAGACTGCCTAAATACATTGCTGAGGGTAGCAACGGGTGAGGCAGGAGAGGTCTGATGCACCATGTGGGTGGCTCCCTGTCCAGCCGGGGTTCGAACTCATGCTACAGAGGCTGTGGATAGCTTCGTAGTGCTCTGTTTAACCCCTTGTGCCACCAGGGAGGCCCTATCTTTGTTTTTTTTTCAAAGATTTATTTATGCATACAAGAATTCAGATACAGGCCAAAGGTGTGGGGGGGTGAGAGGATTCAGCAGAGACAGACTGGGAACCAGAACAGGCAGATCTACTGAAATACACTGCTGAGGGGAGTAGAGGGCAAGTCAGGAGAGGTCTGCTGCACCATATGGGTAGCTCCCTGGCCAGGGATTGAACTCGTACTGCAGTGGCTGTGGACAGCTTCATAGGTTGTGTCTTAACCCCTTGCTCCACCAGGCAGGCCCCTTTTTTTATCTTGAAGGTCATAAACATTTCCAGTTGGATGAAAGTCCATTTCCAGTATCTCTCCATCCAAAATAAGTCCAACTAAAACAATTAGCTAAGTGTGTTCATGGCAGCAGATCAAACCTACTGGGAGAAAGCAGTGGGCCTGGGTTGCTGGCACACACAGCACACCACCGCCTGGGAGTGCTCGGGTTCCATCCTTTCCCATAAGGAACAATCCTCCCACCTGAGCCGCTGCGCAGTGTCAGGGAAGAGGAGCAGAAAGAAATCAGGAGTGAAAGTTTATGGCTCTGGTGTCCATGACACAATCTCAGTTCTGTGTATGAAGAACAGAAAGTGGAAGAACTGAAGGTGGGGAAGTGGATCTCCTCCCCGTCCTTCCTGAGCAAAGGGCGGATTCTTTCAAGAGGTCAGTCAGAGGGCTTGGCCTCAGGCTTACAAGAATTTTTTTTAATTCCCTTTACTCTAAAAGAATGGAAGTTGAGGGTATTACCCAGAATTGGGTTTTTTTCAGAAATAGCCTTTCTGTTGGAGAAACCCTCTATACAACAGGCGTCATCCTCTCTTTATGTTGGGAGCCAGATGACATGAAGAGCCCCACGTCAGGCGCCATATATTGTCGTTTTTGGAGTCAGCGGGTTTGGAGTGTGGGGTCCTTAGGTTCACTCTGGGAAAGGTGTTGTAACAGGGTGGTCCCCAGGAAAGGGGGAGGTTCCCTGCCCCACCCAAGGGAGGGTGGAGCTGAGCAGGGAGAGGAGAAGCTGCAGAAGAGACTGAGGAAGGAAGGAGCAGGATGGAGCCAGGAGACCTGGAGGAGGCGCATGGAGCCTAGAGACATGTGAAGAAACTGCGCTTGTCTTTTGGTCGTGGACTGGGTGACACAGATGTGGGTGAGACCCATGGGGAGGTGACAATGGCAGTTTTTATCTTGATGTTAATTTTGCTCTTTTCCTTCCGGGCTTGTCTGGTTGTTTGTGACCCTTTTTTTGTGGGTCCCCACTGGAAGATGCTTTAGACTTGTGGCAGGCTTTGGGGCCTTGCTCTGGGCCGATCCCATATGGATGGAGTTTTACCCACGAGGGGACGGGTAACTCTGGATGCTTCATTTAGAAACTAGACTCTTTTTTTTTTTTTTTAATAGAGGCATGTTTTTATTTATTTATTTTTGTTTGTTTGTTTGTTTGATTTGTTTATACATGCACTGGGTACAGTCAGAAGCGCGGGAGGGTGAGAGAATTCACCAGAGCCAGAGCGGGGAGCAGAGCAGGCAGAAGGACCGAAGTACACTGCTGAGGGGAGCAGCGGGCGGCAGGAGAGATCTGTGCACCATGTGGGACCCTCCTCCGGTGGCCGCGAGCAGCCGGGGATGGAATGGCGCCGCAGAGGCCGCGGGCAGCTTCGCAACCCAGCGCTCAACCGCTGCGCCACTGGGGAGGCCCTAGAAACTAGACTCTTTGCCTTACCTGTATTATTTCCTAGTTTTATTAAAGTTCCTTCCCATTAAAGTCTCCTATGTTTTGTGTTGATGCGGCGGATGGCAGAACCCATTTAGAACAGGCAGGTTTGTGGGGTTTGGGCTGCCCCTCTCCGTGTCCTATAACAGATTTGGCGCCCAACGTGATTTAGGACAGAGCCATCCGTGGTTAGTCAGCCCACTGGGTGACACAGATGTGGGTGAGAACCATGGGGAGCTGACAATGGCAGTTTTTATCTTGATGTTAATTTTGCTCTTTTCCTTCCGGGCTTGTCTGGTTGTTTGTGACCCTTTTTTTGTGGGTCTGTTATAGGACAGGGAGAGGGGCAGCCAAACCCCGCAAACCTGCCTGTTCTAAATGGGTTCTGCCATCCGCCGCATCAACACAAAACATATGAGACTTTAATGGGAAGGAACTTAAATTAGGAAACAATACAGGTAAGGCAAAGAGTCCAGTTTCTAAATGAAGCACCCAAAGTTACCCATCCTCTCGTGGGTAAAACTCCATCCATATGGGGTCGGCCCAGAGCAAGGCCCCAAAGCCTGCCACAAGTCTAAAATATCTTCCAGTGGGGACCCACAGAAAAGGATCAGAAACAACCAGACAAGCCCGGAAGGAAAAGAGCAAAATCAACACAAGATAAAGGCTGCCGTTGTCACCTCCCCATGGGTCTCATCCACATCTGTGTCACCCAGTCCACGACCAAAAGACAAGCGCAGTTTCTTCACATGTCTCTAGGCTCCACGCGTCTCCTCCAGGTCTCCTGGCTCCATCCTGCTCCTTCCTCAGTCTCTTCTGCGGCTTCTCCTCTTCCTGCTCAGCTCCACCCTCCCTTGGGTGGGGCAGGGAACCTGGAACCTCCCCCTTTCCTGGGGACCACCCTGTTACAGGTCCCCACTGGAAGATGCTTTAGACTTGTGGCAGGCTTTGGGACCTTGCTCTGGGCCTATCCAATATGGATGGCGTTTTACCCATGAGGGGAAGGGTAACTTTGGATGCTTCATTTAGAAACTAGACTCTTTGCCTTACCTGTATTGTTTCCTAGTTTTATTAAAGTTCCTTCCCATTAAAGTCTCATATATTTTGTGTTGATGCGGCAGATGGCAGAACCCATTTAGAACAGGCAGGTTTGTGGGGTTTGGGCTGCCCCTCTCCCTGTCCTATAACAGTGTCACCACAGCTCCCCTTTCAGCAGCAACAGCAAGTTTCCCAGGCAAGTTTCCCCACGAGACAGAGACGTTACTTATATATAAAGGGCAGGTTTATTAGGGCACGGGACTAGGAGCAAAAGACACTTGCACAGACACAAGTGGGCAGGAAGAGCTACCCCGAAAGGGACAGGTTTGCTGAGAGGTCTGCATGGTTGCAGGCGGGCAGCCTTGAGGAGAGCTGCCTCCGCTAAGGGAGATGAGTGGAAAGTCCTGGTCTAGTGCAGGTCACAGGCGGGTTGGGAGGCTGCTGCCCTGTGGAGGGAGAGGGTTGGTGAAAAGAAGCACCTGCATAGTCACAGGTGGGCAGAGGGAGTGCTGCCCAGAGCCAGGGCAGAGACTGCACTGATACAGTCTTCTTCTGTTTGGGAGGGGCAACTCCTTGTGAGCCTGTGCTTAGTTGCTGATTTTGGATAACTTTGCAGAATCTGAAAGGGACATGATAGTCCACAATGGGCTCAATCTCCATATCTTTACCCTTGGGCCTGTGCTCTAGACACTCCCTACAGCTGTCTTATACCTGCTTGAGTCTTATGCTTTGTCATCTAGGCAACAGCAGCCTAAGAATTTGGTTTCCACAGCTGGGTCCATGGTTATGCTAATCCCTTGTACCCCCACCTCCTTGTGTGACCCAGGTTTCTGGTCTTGTGGTGCCTCCTTTTCAATTTTTTTTTCTATTCCTGTCCTCCAACACTTATATGAGTCCCTGTCTTCTCACCTTGAAGGCCCAGGCCTCTACCCATTCTTTAGTTCAAGATCAAATGCCCTCATTTTGCTGCATTGACTTTAGAATCTACATGCAACTAGAGTCCCCCTATGTATGTAATTATATGTGTTCTTTTCTCCTACCGGTTTGTCTGATAATAATTTGGTAGCTTGTCTAGCCCAAGAAGAACCCAGAGGGGAAGGGCAACTTTCCCTTCTGCTCCCACACTGACATTTATGAGATTCCCCATGACGTTTTCAATTATGCACCAGACCATGGTCAACTGGATGAAAAATATATGAGACTTGACTAGGACCCGGAGACAAATTTGGGATCTTTACTCATTAAGCCCAACTAGAACTACTCAAGTAAATTGTGCAGGAGAGGGAGTTCACCAGTCCTTGCAGAGCACAGAGTGAAAAGACAGAGAAGGGTCCAAGTGTTACAGGGCAGTCCCAATATAAAATGGGTTGCCTGGCTGTGGGTCCTCACCCACGCGCTTGAAAGGGACTTATTAATACTCCACTGCAGACACACACAAAAGGGTAATAAAAGGTTTATTCACAAGGGAAGGGGAAATGAAAAAATGTGCAAATCAGGGAGAAAAATGGGAGATAACATCTTAAATGCGTCCTACCTGTTCCACTGACCTGGAAACCCAAATGACTACTCTGAGGGCTGGCCAAGAGCCACAAGCCTTGAAGCCAAGAGGAGGGAGAGAGAGAGAGAGAGAGCCCAAGGCCCATGTATGTGGTTTTTATTTATTTTTTTTAAGATTTATTTATTTATTTATTTATACAAGCACTGGGTACAGTCAGAGGCACGGGAGGATGAGAGAATTCACCAGAGCCAGAGCGGGGAACAGAACAGACAGACTGAGGACACACTGCTGAGGGGAGCAGCAAGCGAGACAGGAGAGGTCTGTGCACCATGTGGGACCCTCGCCCGGTGGCCGGGG